GGTATTGAGTCCTATCCCTACCCGACGTAATGATTTGAGGCCTTGGAGCCCCGTTTATACAGTTATTGTTCTCTGTGTTCTTGTTGTATACACGCACACTTAAGAAAATCAGTAAGTTCCATAAAAGTGACTAGTATTCACACCAACATAATATTATAGAGATTTAGCTATTACCCACATTGTGGATATAGAGGAAATACATGCTATGTGTACATTTGACAAAAGATACTCTAACACGTTAATATGTGACGATTATTCGGCTGACAGGGAGACGAATTCGGTCCGTATATTTGTAGTAACTTACCAAGACGCAGAAGTCCCGTAACAAGAGACGAGCATGTACTCAGTTACAGGACAGTACCTAATCCTGCATTCTAATCTTAACTTTTTCTGTAAACCTTAACACTTGCCTTAATCCCGCTAGTTTTATGTATTACGCAGGTACCTTTTCCTGAGTCTTATTGATTAACAATTACATTTCTGATGAATGTACGCATGTACTATTTCAGAAAACACGGTACTTGTATGAGCAAAGCTATAAGGAAAACGCTATGTGAAGGGACAACCCTCCACACTTGTCATTTAGTTTTTTAAGTGAATTATTGAAATCTGCCAAACCCCCTACTGATAATGTCACTTATCTGTCACCAGATGCGTAAATTCACGCCGCCAAAACCACTACCGTTCAATCAGACTGGAGGGTACAAACCAGCTTTATAGTTAGCAAATGTCATTATAAGTGGTACAATTTGGCACAGAAACGTGAGAGGGGTTTGGTCAGTCAGTTCCTGCACTTATTCCCATCCAAATGTCCGAAGAAGAATAAGCGAGCATGCGTATACCTTCAATAAATTCTCATCAGGCCATTACATTTATATGGGACGGGGGAGGGGGTAAAGTGTAAAAGGTTAGAATTATGTTCAAAGTTACAAGCAAATTAGTCAAGGGGATAAGGGAGGGGGTTGGGGTAGTAACAAGCGGCTAAGTAAGCGGCAATTAGGGAGAGGGGGAAAGGGTGAGAGGAGGTTCGGAAAATGCCGGTAGGTAGTCCCAGGATCTGGTTCTTAACGAGAAATACATTTGAATGGTCGCAAAAATTCCCATCACAGAAATCCGAAGAGGAGTTGGCGAGCATAGGTATACTTTCAATGACTTAGGGTCATTGGGTCAGCGACTGCTAACAACAACATAAGCC